GGGAGGGAGGGAGGGAATGAGAATGAGAGAAGAGAGAGAGAGAGAGAATGGTGGATGCTTAGGCCTTGCCCTTCGGAAAGATGCTTTTGTTTAGAAGACAGTCCTGCCATCCCTGAAAAGGAAAACAAAGCAGCATTCATTTCCAGAAAGGACACTGAAGATGCTCTTGGGGACTTCGATGAGCGTCTTGGCAGGTACACAGGTGTTCACTCTTGCTCCGCTGTATCTCCCTAAAGTCCAGACTCGCTGATCATGGAAAGCACCCAGGACTAGATGATCAGCAGACCGACCCCAAGTGCCTAGAATCAGACTGGACACTAAGCTGAGCCTCAGGCCAGAGATGGACTAAAAAGCGAGTTAGTGAATGTGCCTTGAGGCTTAAGATCCTCATACGCCACCCATGATGAAAGTCCTATACAGACAGAGAAAAATCTTGGAACATTGTCTTAAAACAAGCCCTTATGAGAACAGCGCCTGTCCTCGAGCACCGAGAGCACTCTCAGTTTCTACTGCCTGGTGTGAAGCCTTGCACAGGTTCTCTGCCTCGGGAGAAACTCCCCCATTTTCCTCTGTTTCTCCGGCCCTATTGTGGACATTTCTTTGTCACATTAACACTCCCTGTTTGCGAGTAGAAAGAAACTTCTCTCCATTCATGGGATCAGCCTAAACCACGGGGGCATCTTCCTCCTCGCGATACCCATGTCTGCTATCTTTCATTATTCACTGGCTAACATTAATCAGGGTCCCGTAGGGTACGAAGCTGTAAAAGGAAGCAGATATGTGAGCAGAAATACTATCCAGACAGTAAGTGATAAACGGATTCACCCACTTTAATGTGATTCCCTCTGGCCTTTGCTTCCTCCATGCCTCTGCTTTGCCTCCAGGAACAGAAAAACTTACCTGGGAAAGGCAGAAGACAAAAGCTTGCAGAATCACATTAGAGGGGGTTAATCCATTTATCAGTTGCTATTTGGATTGTTTAATCAGTTTCTAAGTCATTGATTTTCATCTTCAGGGAGGCAGACAGGTCTCTGCAAGAAAAGTGTTGGCTGTTTAGGGGCACACAGAGGAGCCCGCCACACCCCGTCATCAGTCTCTGTATCTCAGAGGCATCTGCATGTCATAGAGAATCATTTTGCAAATCGCCAAAAGCCAGTACATCTGCCTGTAACATTTTCATCGCCCAAATCCAGAAGGAAGTCCCTTCCTTCCTTCTCTCTCAATTGCCATCTTAACCATTTCTGGAACTCTCTTAAGAAAGCCAGGCACATCTATGAAGCAAGTAAACTCGGGGTTTCCTGACCAAGAGGCTATCAAGGAAATCAGTCAAAAGGTGGACAAAAATAAGTGGGGTGTATTAAATGTAGGGGCTGAGTGTAAACAAAAGTTAAATTTCAGGATTGGTATGAACTAGATATAAAATGTGGAGATGCCAGTTACAACTTAGGTAGGTTCCCACATAAAAATCAATAAAAAAAAAATCTCACGTGTATCATTTCACAAAAACTCTCAGGAGGCCCTATCTCACCATTTGTCTCTCTCCTGTTCTCTTAGGGACCTCTTATTATGTCAGATTTTTTTCTGCCCTTTCACAAAATCTTTTAAGCAACCAAAGAAGCTGGTTGTCCCCAACTCACTGTATCACTTGTGAGTTATGAGGAGAAGAAGAATATAGAGTATAAGAACTCCCAGGTAATCCTTTACAGTTTTTACCACCAGCAGACCATTGGTAGAACACCCAGACCATTAAATCTGGGACTCCAATACGGCAAGAAATAAAAAATTCAGAAATGATCTAGTAGAGCAAAGAAGACAATGATGGAGAAATGGATCCTATATAAAAAGACCAAAGGAACAGAATTTAATTCATCTAATGAAGAGAAATTTCTGAGGAGACTGAATCAGAACAGGGTCCCCACATATTTTGGTGTCGGGTATTGGCCACAGAAAGAGCCAGGCCCAGGATGTGAAGAGGTGCTACAATCTGTGTAGGCCCTGGTGTATGCAGCTGTGACATCCCAGAGAAGTGGGGGAGGGAGGGGCTGTATTTTAGTAGAGCAATGACCCAGGATAGGAAGAAATACTGAATGGTTACACTTCATTTCCAGCAAAATCCTTTCTGCTTCAGTTCCTACTGTCTTCTCATGACAGTAAGCTCAAAGCTTTCTTCCATCTTGGTAAAATGGCGTAGACTCATCGATAGCCTTCACACCTGGTTCTCATACACGTTTTGGTATTTAGGATCAGTTTTGGGGTGAGAGTTCTCCCATGAAGCTCTCCCAATTCCCCAACCAGGCTTTGGGGCGGGCACTCTGCTGACACTTCTGAGGTTGCTTCTCTTGCTTACGCATGTGTACACCTGCCTCGTCTCCCCTATTAAAGGATTGACTCCTTCAGGTCAGGGACCACGTCAAACACATCTTTGGAACACCTACGGGCCTGTGCATAGGAAATGGTTAACAACGTGTGGGATGAAGGGCTCAGAAGAGAATGGCAGAGATGCAGGCAGTCAGCACAGTGATACCACCTCCGGGACTTCCCAGCAGGGACAGAGCACTGGGCTCGCTTTCTCTGGGGCAGAGTTATCTGTTGTGCTGAATGTCATTCACTGCCTGGTTTATTTCCCTCTTCCTCAGAGCAGAGCTGGTCCATGCCCAGAGAGATGGGCCAGTCATCTCTAACTCCCAGAGAATACAGGAGCGGTAGCTGAGAGCCCTGGGTTGCAGCAAGAATAACACTGTGCCCCTACGATGGTAGGTGAAGCACCATCTTACAGGCAAACATCCAAGAAAAGTTTGTAAGATGACGCTTCATTCTCTCTTGAGAAGGGGACACCAGGTTGCATCTGCCCACTCAGCCTCCCTCTTGTTCAATGGCTTTTCGAGAAGAAAAAGCAGCAAACTATTACACAACAAAACTGTGATGGATCTTACACTGGATGCTTTACATATGGTATTTCATGGATTCTCACACACACGCGCACAAATTGTGAAGTAGGGATTATTTGACAGATGAGGTAACTGAAGTCCAGAGATTAAGGGCTGGCTCCGGGGTTCACCTCCAGGTTGTCTGTGTCCCCAGAGACTCTCGGCCTATAATCTGCCTCCTGGGAATTCCAGGGGCAAACACTTTCTGACCAACATTTGCATATAAAATATTTCCGAAATCTCTTCATGAACTTCAGAAATCTCTTCATTCACCTAACCCATTATTTAGGAATCCCAAAGCAATAAAAGTTGAGGTTGGCCTGGTAAAAGCGGAAATTCCCTTTGAACTGAAACTTAATGTCCCTCTCACAGGGATCCATCCTGGTGACCTGCTTACTGTCATATGCTCTGCAGCAGAAACACTTCTCCCGAGAGTCCTGGGGCCCGGGGAGGGATTTTTTTAAACTAAAGCTCACACCACGGCTCTGTTGGCCTATGGCCTGACCCAGGGTGAGCAATTTCCTGGTACTGTATCTGAGATCATTAGAAAAAGGATTTTACTATAAATAGGAAGCTTGCCCAGACCTTGCAAGTGGGATTTAAATAGAGATTCTGCCCCTGCTTATGGGAAATTGAGTCCCGCTTTATAGAATAAGATGACAGTGAGGGCAAAGGCCCGAGTGGTATCTCGGTGGCAGCGCCCGCAATGATGGACTTGGTTTTCTGTTGATTAATGTTCATGGGCTGAGATCATATAAGAGATACAAGGAAGCTGCTGAGAAAATAAAGTGAGCCTGAAGAGTTTAGGAATTTATCTGGGCAGATAACTCCAAAACTCTCAATGAAAGAAAAGAATAGAAATCAAGAACAAAGTTCCTGATGGGGGTTGGGAGGCCTAGAAGGTGGAGGGAGCATTCATATAAATCAAACCAAGAGAAAGAACAGCCAAGCCCCGAACTGTCCCACCACCACACTCAGGAAGGGTTACGCAGTCGTTCTGGAAAATGCACACGATGGGATTTTCTGCCTCAATCAGGCCGTGTCTATGGCAATCACAACCCCAACTCTTCCATAGAACTACCACCCAAACAGGGCTGCCTTTCTCCAGTTCCGTCTGATCTCTGCTGCGCTATGCCTGCCACACATGAAGGAATGGGTGGCAGGGACAGTCTGGCATCAGCAACAGCCCCTCAT